ACAGTGGACAAGGCATAATCCTAGTGTTTTCATATCAATATTCACAATAAGATCTATATTTCAGCCTTTGCAGTTGATTCATGTGAATTATTTCCCATGTGTTTGTAAACACTCTTCAACTACTTGATACGGAGGATTTTAATCGGATATAATATTTAATCTCCTTATACCTAATCAGCTGAGTTTTTTCTAGTAGGTATTTTCAATTGTTTATCCATAACAAAACAAGCATCTTGTCTTAACCAAAGTTAGTACGGTTATTTTTTTATATATTGTTCCTTGATGCTACTGAGCAGTTGGATCTAATGCATGAAATTGTTTTGCACAACCTTTGCCAAATACTAGCAATACAACCATTTAGTCTAAATATGCATTCATTATTACTTTCAACTATTACTTTCATTTAGTAACATTCCTCCAAGCAAAAAAATAAAATGACAGAGACTGCAATTTTATAATCATTGTTCAACTACAACAACATTCTTCTGATCATCTACATTAAAAATTTCAAATCTGATTGCCTCAGACTGCAATTTTATGAAAGAGCAAACACCAGAAAAAAATCATATCTACAAATAAACAAAATGAAACACATTAAAACACAAAATAAAATAAAGATTAAATTAGAGGATATAATGGATAAAAGAACCCTCACTAAGCAACTAGAAAACAATAAATAAATAAAAATCATACCTTCAGGCTCCACCTATTGAGTGCCAGGTAATGGTTGAGAGCCAGAATGAAAGCCCCGGGAGCCTCACACAAGTGCACCGAGTTAAAAGGCACATGGCCCTCTTCCCCTTCCACATCCAGAGGCACAATGGGGTATGCATTCACGATCTCATAAAATTTTAGCCATGCCTGGAAGACCATAGATCGTCATCAAATTTATTTGTAAATATTTTCTGCTAAGAACAAAATAACATACTAAGTGTTTAATAAAAAAAAGTTTGACAAAGCTACAATGGGTATTTCAAGACTGAATTTTATATATTAAAAGTTTTATCAATATTTCATTAAACATCACATAAATAAAAAGGACAAAATAATTTTAAAAATGCATTCTCACCTGTGTCACCATCTCTGGCTGTGCTCTCCGCTTAACTGCATAAGAAATTTTCTGAGAGGGGTTGGTTGCTCGTGTGATTATGCCAAACTGCAATGTCCTTCTCACCTAGCTGTTTTTTTACATGATTCAGTGACATTTTCATGGCTTGCAAGGTGTCATCCTGAAAAAGGGTGTTGGTGTTCATTAATTTTTGTGCTAAGGGGACCTTCTGGATGGGTATTGGCCCTCAAGTTTTAAGCTGAGTTATAGGGAGTTTCATCCTTATGAATGCATGGAAAAAATCCTCTATGAATGATAAGGCCCAAATACATTTCCTTTTAGGGGTAACAGGGGCATAACTGCAACTGTTTGTCTTAGGATTTGTAATCATCTTCATATATATATGTTCTAATGGAATCTGCAGCACTTTAGAATATGGATTACCTACTTACTTATACTGGATATGAATGGATTAGGGCAAAAACATAAATAATAAGACTGAAAAATAAATAAAAAAAATAAAAAGGGAATTCAATTATTAGAACCTCTGCACAGTTGAAATATGGCTTGTATGTGACTTCAAGTTGATACATGAGTGTGAGTTTTTAGACTGGTCCTTACTGCATTTTTTCTTGCCAAACAAACCAAACCACAAACCAGACTGTGACAACTTTCTTTGCATGTACACATTTGAGCTTTCTATTCATTATTACATTAACATCATATACTTAAAACATAGTAGTAAAATTAAAATAAAAATTACCAAACTTTAAAGACAACAGTTTGATGTCAAAGATTAGTAGTTTTTATATAATTTTCATATTTTTTATAGGCAATGGTTAATCCCCTAACACTAAAGGTTTTATGCAAATTTTCATCTTCCAGATAGAGACAATTAATCAGTCTGAAGAATGACATAAAAAATGAAATACAGCTCAAAAGAAGGGGAATTCTAAGGTGTACAATCAGAAAGAAAATAAATTGATAAAAAAGAATTGTAATATCAAGGCATTAACTTTTACAGACAAAAACTATGAACATTAAGGCTTATTGGCAGACTGCCCCATTAATTCTAGTGGTTGGAATTAGGTTTCTTAGAAGACAAATTGCCAAGATATTTTATTCTAACTTTCAAAAACACAATAAAAAATTTCCTCTAAATAATAAAAAATTCATCCCTTAAGCAATGAAATCACTTTCTTCCAAACATTTCCAAGAAAAACAACAAAAGAGAAAAATATTTTCAATATCAAATAATACATTTATCTAATTTATTCCGAACCTTCACTCACCTTCCATACAGGAGAAGTATACATCCTATCAGCAGAAGGAGCACCCAGTTAACCGATCCTCGTTTAGTGCGCTGCATAAAGGAACTGTTATTGAAGTGTTCTTCAATGTCCATCTGCGCTTGGATGTGATCGGTGTACTCCAACAACGGGAAGTTCATAAACTGGGAGTCTTGGCGTCCATAACTAGAAGTTAATGGTAGATTAATTGGTGTGTCCGAAGTTTCCTATATGTGACGGGTAAAATATGCCAGGTGTTGACACAAAAGAAAGAATGGAATAAAAGGCCTCTATATTAAGTTCTAAAATATGTTATATTGATAAAAAAGGAGAAATAAAATCATATAGCTGGATTTGCTATATGTGACTTAAATTATGCCCGATTAGTGTTCCGAATTAGTGAAAAGTGTTCCCAAATCAGTCCCAACTTTTGTCATGATTTACTAAAAATACTGATAAGGGAAAGAAAGATATAGGAACAAAAGATAGATAGGTAATAACATAGGGACAAAATAATAGACTACAATAAAAGGAACAAAAAATACACAAGAGAAAAGAGATCAAAGACAGACAGAAAACCACACACCTCCCAAAGGCCTTCTTGTGCCTTTGCCTCACTGGCTCCCTTGTCACTCGAGGAGGCGACAGCTGGAGAGGCTTCGTGCTGCACTTCTCTCGCTGGGGTCGGAAGGAGAAGCCATCTCCCACACTTGCACATTCTGGGTATTGTTCCATAGTGATTTTCTTCCTAAATCAAATTCCGTGAGGGATTCCTTTTTTACTTTGTCTACGCTCGTGAGTCCTCACATGGATTTACTGCTGTCTGTCACATCATCTGAATCAACTAGTGTTTTACAAAAGAATTTCTAAATTGACATTTCTTTTTTTTTCTCTTTCACCCCTTTTGCTTTCTTCTTCTTCCTTCCTCTTCATACTATAAGAGGACCTTAAGCTTTAGTTTTCTTGGCAATGGAGTCCAGCTGCGCTCGCACTTTGCTCAGGGATTCAACAGCCGCGGTGATAGCTTCTGGGCTTAACTCTAGGCTGATGTTCTCTATCTGGTCTTTTTCAGAATTGTTCACAACCTATTGATGAAATTATAATAATATAACAATGATATGCAATGATAAGGATGGGGATAGTTAATCAAAAAAGACATATAAACAAATAATCATTTTCATTAATATTAACAGATGCAAATATTATCATTATTATCATTATATAAGAACTCACAGTCATGTCCACCAAACAATGTGGCTTCTTGCTGTCCTGCGTCTCCACTCTGACATTAACATCACGTAGCTGTGGAGGAGCCGCCATGCTCCACAGACAGCCCTCTGTGCCAAAGGAAGACCTGAAAATGATTATAGCATTTCTAATAGGTGTTTTATTTTGGTATGAGTGAATGAGTGAGTGTGTGTGAGAGAGTGAGTGGTAAGTGTGTGAGTGTGAGTGTGAGTGAGTGAATAAGTGAGTGAGTGAGTGAGTGAGAAAAGACCTTCATGGAGTGAACAACTGAAAGAAATAATTTGAGTGAACTTAAGGGGAAGAGTTGTCGGTACGATCACGAAATTTGTTGTCCGATCCTGCTTACTTTAGTTTTTTAGCTAGGTCAATTTTTTTTTACACAAAGTGCATGGGTATGTGATGCTTGTATACAAGAAATTTGATTAAAAAAAGCTGCAAAAATTTTTGCGCAAAAAAAAAAAAAAAAAAAAAAAAAAAAAAAAAAAAAAAAAAAAAAAAAAAAAAAAAAAAAGCGAGATGATAGAATTAAAAAAATTATGTGATGGGGTACTTATAGTGAATAGTACTGCAGTTTCCTTCTGACCAGAGTTAGTCAACAAATAGGAGTACCAAATGTAGCATTTATGTAAATCTATCTGAAACGACAATGTTTCAGTTACCTTGCAAAAAAGCGCATTTTTTTTTGTCCGAAAATCGCCATTAGTTTTTTCAGTAAAAAATGTATTTGGTGGAAATAATGCATGACTTTGCTACAGTTTGTAGATACGAACTGGACGATTATTTTGCAACAAGAATTATTAAAATTGCGTAATTACATATAAAATTAACCTTACTATCATGCGTGAAAATATGATTTTGAGAAAATGGCAGTTTTTGTCATTCATCGTCATTACATCATAAAGGTCATACCAATGATTACCAAATGTGAATATCTACTTAGACAATACCTTGGCCTTTAATATGAGTCCTGTGGTAGAGGGTCAGGCCTTGTTCAGGTAATTTTAGGTCATCTTTATGTCAAGGTTAGGTTAGGTTAGGTGGGAGTGTTCTCTGAAAAGTATACTTTCAGATGTCAAGGCTCCTGGTTCCTCTGTCATTTACATATATTACACAATAAATCGTATATTATGCATTTCTGATATATAAAGGACATATTGTTAGGTTTTCAACAGGTTGAAAACAAAACATGTGTACTCCCGAAAACTTTATCAATCGCACTGTTCTCCTGTCCTTGCTGCTGCTGCCTGTCTGCTGAACGCAGCCTAAACTATCGTACAGCAGTATCATACCAAAGAAATTCGCAAAAACAGCCGAAAAAAACGCTGAAAATACAAGAAAAACAAAGCATGAAGCATATAGGGGTGTGGCAGCACAAGGGCATTTAAATACCCCAAACCTTTAAACCGCGGAAAGGAGGGCGTTACACATCTGGCAACCGGCGCCCTGGGTGCGTCACATGGTCATGTATCAACACACAAAGTTTGAAAAAATTGTAATTTGTGAACCATACTGACGACTCTTCCCCTTAACCCTTCAGTCGCAGATAGCATCATATGAAGCAAAGTGCAATTGATAGCCAATCCCATGGAGCAGCTGGCGGCTGCTCACCCTCAGAGCTAAGCGGGCCAGGGGTTATCAGCCACCAAGTCAGTGTCCCCTAGCGGCCTTCCAGGGCCCAGGCATGCCGCCCCACCAAAGGAGTTCAACGCTTTTAGCGCATGCTATGATCAGGCCTTCCACTCTTTTCATGCTTGCATGTACTTGCAAGGGTGTATATATATATACACAAACATATGTATTCTTATATACATACACAGACATATGTGTGTGAAGGAGAGAAAGAACACCCAAAATTAAAAGGAATTTGTGAAACACATTGCAAAATTAACAAGGAAGGAAGGATAGAATAGATCAAATAGGATAAAAATGACATGCAATTTCGAAAGATAAATTTAGATGACATTTATACAGATAAACTAGAGACTATGACAATAAAGATAAATTTAAAAAAAAGAGAGTTAAATGTCCTCTTGATGTACAACCCTTGCAACAATATAAAACCAAAAGAATTGGAGTATTATATATAAAAAAAATTGAAGATTTAAAACTAATCACAGAAGATTTTAATGCCCACCATGCACGTTGGAATCCTAAACCAAGAAGTAAATTAATAAACAGGACAGGCAAAAGCATATGTGAACTATCCATAATAATATAATTCTGTTAACATTAACAAGTCTAGTAACAAAAACAGACCCAAAAATGCTAAATAAACAACAATAGACCTGGCCCTAGCATTATCATCACTAAGCCACTTAGAAATAGAAACAGGTCCTAAACTATGAAGCGGCCATCTTCCACTAATCATAAATGATAGTAATTCTACTAAAATCTCTCAGTCCAGAGAAAAAAAATGGAAATACACAAAAGAAGGATGGAACAGATTTCAAAGAGAATCTTTATATACAGATATAGAAAACATAAATTCTATACATGAAATAATTCATATCTTAAAAGAGACAGGACTAAAGTGCTTCAAACTCAAAAATGAAAAAACATAATAAAAAAACCATGGTGGAATGAAACATGCAGAGAAGTAGTGAAAATGAGAAAAAGAGCTTTTAATAAATGGAAGACAAACACAATAACAAAGAAAACCAACAAGATTACAAAATACTAGTAATAAAAGCAAAGCAGATAAAAGAAAAAGAGGCAAGGTAATCATGGGAAAAGTTTTGTACTTCCTTAGATTTTAAAATCCCTCCCAAAAGATCTGGAACTTTTTCAAAAAGCTAACAGGGAAAACAATCATAACTCAATATCCTTTAGAAGATAATGATCACCTGGTGACAGAGATGCCCCTAAAATTAGTGTTATTTAAAAATTAATTTCAAAAAGCATTAAACAAAGATCCTAAAAAGATTTTGACAGGAGAAAGAAGAATAAGATTATTAAACCTTCCAACCAATACAACAATAAATGAAAAAGTACATATCAATGAATTGAAGAAATGCAAAAAGAGATAAAACTTATGGGCCAGACAAGATACCATAAAAAAATTTCATATATGCCCTTGAACAACCAACTGAAAAAACATTAACCCCTTGCCGCCAGGTGGCATGTACATACATGCTATGGCTCTTGTGGACAGAAAAACGGATGGCATCGTATCACAACCCTTCCTGCGCCACTGGCTCATCGGACAGAGTTTGTTTTTCTCTGATAAAAGCGGCTTTATTTATATAATAAAGCTTTTAGGCAATAGCACCTAAAGTGAAGGTAACCCTGCAAATTTTTTATATTATTGAAAACTATAGCAAAATAAAAGCTTTTAGGTGCCGAATGTCGCTCACAAACTACCAAATGAGCAGGGTGCAAACGAGAAGCTGCCGATGTGCGCCAACAATCCCGTGAACATGTCCACTTGCCAAACTTGGCAAGTGGACATGAAATTAACCAATACTGGAACAAATCTGAATATCCAAAAGAATTCAAGAACATCATAATCAATCCAATAAACATACCACGCAAAAATTGAGCAGATGCAGAATCCTACAGATTTATTAATAGGATATAAACCTTAAGAAAAATTTTGGATAAAATAATAACAGAGACTAAACTAAACAAAAGACAAACTAGACAAAGACCTCGCGGGATTTAGATCAAACAAAAACACAGCAGAAACCCTACAAATGAGAGATTCACACATAAATAATGCAATAATAGAAAAAAATATGCATATGTATAATAATATACAATATAAAAAGTAGACTAGTCTACTTAATTAATGGTAATCATTTGATTGACACGTGATGTAAAAAAACAGCTCCCTACAGTAGTGCTGCTTGTGCTCACTACCTGGCAGCAGCTCTCCCACAGGCCGTGGGCCAATCTATTATCGGCCATACTTTGAGATCTCTGGTGAAATTACAGTTAATCCCCTCTGGGTAATTGGATACGGTTCAAGAAGGGACGCCTACATGTGTATCTGAAGATATGCACACAAAAAACGACCTCTTTTCATTCTATTTCGTATACGGCATTCCATTTCATGAAATGAAATTACATTACGTGTTTTCCCCAGACCCTGTCTAGGGATTAAAGAGATAGTAGAAAACATTGGGCTTTAGTTTTCGGGTTTGCATGGATACCCTGGTTTTGGGACTTCATCGCTGGAGGTTGCATTGCTCTAGGTAACAAAAACCGTTGTTAGTATTAAAACCTATTACAAAAAAGAAAGAAAGAAAAAATCTTGCATAATGTGGCCGGCTGCCTGCTCCCACTCTTCCTTCAGATTCAACATCCCATTACAAATTTTTACTGACAGCACAAATGAAACTAATATTGGAACTATCGCTCTAAGGAAGCACTCAGCAACATAACTAACTGACACATTACTCACATTACGAGTTTTATTATGAGTTAACAGGTACACATTTAAATTCCCAACACTCCTTTTAAAATTCCAAATCTTCTTCTGACAACACTATAACACTCGACACATCCAATAAACTAACTAAACAAGTACTACCTAGATAAAGCCCATATCATGTACCAATGGGGCGTGCGGAGATAATATTTGCAGGACAATAAGGTGACACAGATTAGGAAACGTGCTTTTGACGCCGAGTTGTTATTGTTACGGAAAGACCGGGACGTTTTCTGTGGTTAGATTTCAGGGGGGACTTTGGCAATGGGGGAAATTACTCGGGCTCTGGACAGGCTCAGGTGGGCTTGGATTCATAGTGTATATTGTATACACATACACGCACGCATATATACGCGCATGCACTCAAACGCACATGCAAGCACACGTATACAAATATCCCGCACCTCTTCTTTTATCTCCTGACTTGTGTGTGTACCGCGATCTTGCCTCTTAGATCTAGATCTAGACTTGGGTCAAATAACTTTCACAGGTTAATAATTCTAAAAAGGAACTCATTCTCTCTCCCCCCCCCTCTCTCTCTCTATCTGTCTCTCTCTCTCTCTGTCTGTCTGCTCTCTCTCTGTCTCCGCCCCCCTCTCTCTCTGTGATGTGGCACACACACACACACACAACACACAAACACTCACGCACACACACACACACACACACACACACACACACACACACACACACAACACACACACACACACACACACACACACACACACACACACACACACACACAGCACGGGTTCGTGGAAATGTGAGAGCGGAATGTGAACTGTGAAATTTGAATGGATATATGCACAGTAATTGCCCTATTCCCTCGTATCATCAAGCAGCTTACTTATCACTCTACTAACATGCCGCCGCTGTTCAGTATGGCGAAATATCCATAATATATGTATGCATATATATATATATATATATATATATATATATATATATATATATATATATATATATATATAATATATATATATAGTGGTGTGTGTGTGTGTGTGTGTGTGTGTTTATTATATATTATATATATATATGTTTATATATACATACATACATACATATAATATATATATATATATATATATATATATATATATATATATATATATAATATATGCATATATATGTGTGTATATGTGTGTTTTTTGTGTTTTTTGTGTGTATGTGTGGGTGATTGTGCGTGGGTGTGGGTGGGTGGGTGTGCGATGACAATGAAAATAGGTTCATTGGCCAAGAGGCAGAAATGTACAATTTACAGTATATCTTGGTTCACAATGCATGTTCCTGTACAATACTAATGTTTATGGAATTTGGAATTAAAAACAGAATATGAAAGTATCATCGCATCCAGAATAAGCGTATTCGCGCACTGATTCGAAAGGGATTTCACTGATCGTCGGGCAACCTTCTAACGACAGTCCTACACCTGGTGTAGATAGTATTCCCGTGTCTCTCGTGGCGGCGCGTTCCTTGTTCAAGAGGATGCATGTGAGGATGGACGGACGATCTGGCCAATTTGTCCCCAGCTTTGGGTGAGTTGTCTGCCGTCCAATCGCGGCAGTACGAACCTTGTCAGCGTTTGGGTGGAGCTTCGGTCAGGGGCATTGCTGCGGCGGTGGTGGGAGGGAATGATTCGGCCTCTTCTGCACGGCTCTAGACTGGCTCGCTGTGCGGCGGTGAGAGCGGAGTGTCACGCCGGACGGACACGCGTACACCTTTGGCAGTACAGTTGGTACAGGGTTCTCCTTTGCACCGGAGGACCTTGCACGGAAAACCACGGGCAGTCGTTTGGTTGCCTGGGTTATAATTTGGTCAGTAAAGTCAGGTTTGAATTGATGACGAACCTGATAATTTCGTATGATGCAGAGGTGGATCTGGAGAGTCGACACGTCTCTTCTGAGGAAACTGGTGCCAAGCACCTCACACTTGCTAGGGTTTGGGATGAGTTTTAACTCCTCTCATTGCAACTGAGCTGAGGCGACTTTGGGCTGAAGTGTCTGCATAGATTGTGACGTCGTCCACAAATTTTACTTTGCGAGTTGAACAGAAAACTGTTGATGACTGCAACGGAGATGACTGGGCCGATGCTTGTCCCTTGGGGCACTCCACACAT